TGTTAAATTCTGTGATAATATTTGTTAATAAAAATTAAATATTTATCTAATGATATCATAATTGTATTCAAAAGATAACAAAATAAATTTCAAACTAAAAACATCGTTTTTGAGTTTATTTTGAGTAAGTTTATTGATATTACATGCTAAATATGTTACTTCATGTCCATAAAATTGTGTTGATTTGTAATCACAAAGAACATATACATTAGAAACAATTGAATAAATTAAATTCTTTGTTTCAATATCATTTGATGGAACTTCTTTCCCATAATAATAAATATCAATGCTTAATTTGTTATTAACAATTTTAGAATTTAATATTACTGGATAATAAATTGTTATATTTTTAACATTTGACAATGATTCTGATTGAACTGAAATATTAGATCCTCGAAATACTACTTCCTTGATAGATACACATCCAACAAATGCATATTGAGATATATTAACACTATTATGAAAATCTAAAATTCCATTTAATTTCTCACAATTAGAAAATGCAGAATGAGAAATATTAACACTATTATGGAATTTTAAGATTCCATTAAAATTTCTACAATATGAAAATGCAAATTGCCCAATTGAAAGTATTTGAGACATATCATTTAAATCTTTTAAATTATAACAATTTATAAATGCATAATTTCCAATATTTGTTAATTTTGTTACGTTATAAAGTCCTTTTATGCATTCGCAATTATAAAATCCATAATTTGGTATATTTTCTAAACTATTTAAATCGTATAAATATTCAATTGAACTTCCTTTGAATGGTGAACCATAAAAACTTTCATCCGAATAATATAATTCAAAATTTTTTAATAAATATAAACAATGAAGTTCTTTTAACAATGTACAATTATAAAATGCAGAATAACCTAGTGTTCTTAAATTATTAAGATTTGAAATATTTATTAAATTAGAACAATTTTGAAATGCATTATAGTTTATTGTTGCTAAATTATACAAAGTAGAAATATTTCTTAAATTATGACAATTCTGAAATGAATAATAACCAATTATTGATATATTATACAAATTTGAGATGTTAACTATATTATTACAATTATAAAATGCATAAGATTCAATAATTATTAAATTGTTTAGATTTATAAGTGTTGTTAAATTATAACAATTATAAAATGCAAATTTTCCGATTGCAAATATTTGAGAAATGTAATTTAAATCTGTTAAATTAAAACAATTATAAAATGAATAATTTCCAATATTTCTTAATTTAGTTAAATTGTATAAACATTTTAAAGTATTACATTGATAAAATCCGCAATCTGGTATAACTTCTAAACTATTTAAATCATATAAATATTCAATAAAACTTCCATAAAATGGTGAAAAAGATCTATAAATTCCCATATTAGTTAATGAATATAAACAACGAAGTTCTTTTATAAATGTACAATTATTAAATGCAGAATAGCCAATAGTTGTGACATTATTAAGATTTGATATATTTTTTAAATTATAACAATTATAAAAGGCTTCAGATCCGATTCTTGTTAAATTAAAGGAATTTGAAATATTTTCTAAGATGAAACAATTATAAAATGTTCTGTATTCAATTGATATTAAATTTTGTAGATTCTCAATAGTCGTTAAATTAGAACAATTATAAAATGCACTTCCACCAATACTTGATAGTTTTGTTAAATTGTAAAGTCCCATTAAATTATTACAGCCAGAAAATGCATAATTACCAATAGTTGTTAAATTAAATAAATTGTAAAGTCCTATTAAATTATTACAACCGTAAAATGACCAATTACCAATAGTTGTTAAATTAAATAAATTGTAAGGTCCCATTAAATTATTACAACCGTAAAATGACCAATTACCAATAGTTGTTAAATTAAATAAATTATAAAGTCCTTTAAAATTGTTACAATTATAAAATGCAGCATCTTCAATTGTTAATATAGGGTTAAGATTTTCAACAGTTGTTAAATTTTTACAGTAAGAAAACGCACTTTTCTCAATTTTTGTTAATTTAGTTAAGTTATAAAGTCCTATTATGCTATTACATTTTTGAAATGATCGATGTGGAATAATTTCTAAACTTTTTAAATCATATAAATATTCAATTGAATTTCCTGAGAAAGATGAATTATATTCATATTGATCTGGATGACTACTACAATAACCTTCTGGAAAAATACAATATTTATAAATTTCAATATATGTTAATGAATATAAACCACGAAGTACTTTTAATGATGTACAATTATTAAATGCATTATGACCTATTGTTCTTAATTTATAAAGATTTGAAATATTTATTAAATTATAACAATTATAAAATGCTTCCGAACTTATTGTTGTTAAATTATTCAAATTCGAAATATGTACTAGACTATAACAATTATAAAATGCACATTCACCAATAAGTATTAAATTACTTAAATTATAAACTCCTTTTAAGTTAAAACAATTAGAAAATCCATTCATATAAATAGTTTCTAAACTAGTTAAATCATATAAATATTCAATAGAACTTCCATAAAATGGTGAATTTTTATAAGATCCACTAATATATGTTAATGAATATAAACAATGAAGTTCTGTTAATGATGTGCAATTATAAAATGCGTAATTTCCAATAGATTTTAAACTATTTAAATTTAAACTGGTTGCTAATTTATAACAATTAAAAAATGCATCATTACCAATAGTTGTTAATTGACTAAGATTCGAACTAAATGTTAAATTATAACAATTATAAAATGCATTATCACGAATAGTTGTTAACTTACTAAGATCGGAACTAAATGTTAAATTATAACAATTATAGAATGCAGAATATTCAATTATTGATAAATTATTAAGATCATTTAACTTAATTAAATTATAACAATTATAAAATGCTGAACTTTCAATTTTTGTTAAATTATTTAGACCATTTAATTTAATTAAATTATAACAATTATAAGGTCGATGAAAAAATGAGCGTTTTTAAAAAACCGCCGTTTGAGAGGGAAATTGAGAGCCCCGATGTATACTTTTTGACATTGTCAAAAACTTTGAAAGGACCAAAAAATTTTAGTGTCAGAAAGTTTACAAATGTATACTTTCTGACAAACAGACTCTCAGAAAGTACTCAAACTGCGGTTTTTAATTTCCGCACTTTTTTGGCAACCTTAAAATGCAGAATATTCAATTTTTGTTAAATGATTTAGACCACTTAATTTAATTAAATTATAACAATTATAAAATGCTGAACTTTCAATTTTTGTTAAATTATTTAGACCATTTAACATAATTAAATTACAACAATTATAAAATGCATGGTGTGGCATATTTTCTAAACTATTTAAATCAAATAAATATTCAAGAGAACTTCCAACAAATGATGAATAATAATAATAAGAATAATCATCATTATAATTGCTATATGTTTCAATATTTTTTAATGAGTATAAACAATGAAGTTCTTTTAATGATGTACAATTATAAAATGCAGAATAACCAATAGAACTGACATTGTTTAATGGTTCTAATGTTTTTAATTTTATACAATTATAAAAAGATTTTCTGTCAATTTTTGTAATTGAAGATGGTAAAATAAGTGTTTCAAGGTTTGTTAAGTTTTGAAAAACTGTTCCTGTTGATGTTAGCTTAGTACATTGTGAAAAATTTGCATAAATAACATAATCAGATAAAAACGATAATTTATTAATTGATTCATTGACAATATCACCTGTGATTGAACAAAATTCTTCTAAATTATATGAAACTTCATAATTTTCATTTACTGATATATTACAAATTATCATTTATATAAAATAAATCAAATTTTTTTGGATATATTTACACTTGAGTCATGTAATTTTGACACCTTTAACCTTAAATTTTATCTAAATATTTTGCACCTTTAATTAATTTGTGACTTTTACTTTAAAGGTCCTTTTTCAAACCTTATGTCAGTCGATTCTCCTTAAAACGTAATTTTATTGACTATTTAGAAAAAAATATTTTTGAGAACTTATTTGGCCGGCTGTTTATAAAAATACTACTCGTTTAAAATTAAAAAATGGAACATCTTACAGTTGAGTTTCTTAGAAGACTACAAAAGGTCTTTCTTATGGTCAAATTATAGAGAAATGTGATAATATTTATTCAGAATTTGGAAGTTTCAAGGTGCCATAAAGACGATAGGCCACCCTCAGAAAAGCACTTTTAAGGCAATTATATTGAGTACCCTTGTATGGATCACTCTTAACTGATTCAAATATTAGTACTGTATTAAGAAGAGCTACATTATGACATTATTTGAAAATAGGTTATCTTAGAGGTGCAGTTTACTATCTCCGTCAACGTGAACTATTAACATTTGATTATGGATTATTTCGAAATGATGCTATTATTATAGATGAAGTAGTTAAACAAGCAGAGAATAGAAGGTATGAAGTTAGTCTTTTCTTTGAAAAAGAAGGTTGTGCAACATTATTTCAAGCCCATTAGTAAACAAAATACTCAAAGATATTAATAAAAAGTGTAAGGATGTATTTAAATCTTTTTGACATTCTCTCAATTTTTTTGGCACTAGAACTTTATGTTCCAATTTTCCATGGCAAAAAGTTAATATTTTAGGTCGTGAAAAAGTCATTATAAATCACTCTTAGTAAATAACATAAAAAACCATACCAGAAAAACTAAAGTAAAGTAGTCCAAAATATAGCAAAATTATGTAATTCTTTATCAGGAATATCTATATCACCAATATTCTTACTAACTCATCTTATAATTCTTAGTAACTCCAGCAGAATTAAAAGAATTTGAAGAAATCTGGACTCTATCAGTTCGCTTCATTGAATAAAGGCTGGGTAAATATAAGCACTTTCCTTCTATATTCTATATTTTTCATTAAACAAATATATTTTAAAAACCAGTTTCCTAAAAAAGTGCCACCTATCGTCATTATAAATTTCATGATTGTACCGCAATGAATTTTTTTTTGATCGGAAGGTTTCAAAAATTTTTTTATGCTTCCAATTTTACTTTTATACCGCCAACGTGCTAAAGTTAATGTTGAAGGCAACTCCATTGTCCTATATTCTTATGGATATGAGAAAGGCGGAAAGTTTTCTGCCGCGATTACAAATGCTTCACAATCAACAACATTTCTCTTCCAGTTATGCACATTAGATGAGTTCAAAAATTTCACACAGTCACAGAAATCATATTGTGAAGACTTAATGTCCGTTTGTCACCTTAGCACACTTGAACCTGTTTATAATCAAGCTTCCAATACAAATATGACCGTTGATCAAGCCGGCCGTTATCTTACAGTCATTACAAACTGTGCCGGATCAGCATCAAACTACCTTCTTGATGTTAATTTTTCGAATCCAAATTCACTTCTCTCAACAGATTTACAGCCATGCATTTACGGGAAGCCAATCATGACGGTATTCTTCGGCATTGGTATGATCTACTGGGTTATTAACTGGATCCTTAATTTCAGAGGAACATCCGCTCTTCACATTTTCTACACCATTACTATCTTCTTTGCCTTCCTCTACATCTTTGTCGACACCTTCTACTACCATCACTTCCATAAATCTGATGCAGAAACAGGAGCAACAGAATCTCATATTGTTTTCAGATTCCTTTGGCAATTCCTTCTTTTGGCCGGCCTCAGCTTCGTTTCACAAGGCTACGGATACCTCGCTTCTTCATTTTCTGTCAAGAATATGATTTTAATTGTTTTATTATCCGCAGTTATCAATGCTTCCTTAATGGCATTCAACTATATCTCAAGTCTTTCATATTCTGTCATTGTTATGGTCATTTTCGCCATTGCATTTTGCGTATATTTCAGAATGTTCATGTTCGGAGTCAACGAAGCCGTTTTAACTGTTCGCGCCCACATGTACGTCATTGCCGAACAAGGAATAGACCCATCTACAACTCCTTTGGTGAGGAAGATGAAGTTATATACGATTATGTTGTATATTATTGTTGGATACTTCGGATTATTCCTTGCCCAACACATTATCTTCACTTTCTTCCCACTTCCAGACGCATATTCCGAACTCATCACTGATATCATAAATTGCGCCATGGTTTATGGAGTCATTTTCCTGTTCAGACTGAGGAAAGAGAACACACGAGGCTACCAGACCATCGAAGAGGTCGGATTGGAGGTCCAGGAGTTCACACGCGAAGAAGTGCTCCAACTCAACTTCGACGACGTCATGGAGAGAGCGACAAACAAGTGGGATGGATCTGCTTTGCCTCCACAGCCAAGAATTGTCGAGTCAAAGACAATTTCTCAGGACTTTGTCGAAGAAATTCAGACAGAAAAGGCTCCTCCAATGGATAACGCTGATATCCACGAGCAGCACTCCGATGATGATAAAAAACCATCAACAAATGCAAGGGCTGATGTTGATGAAGGACTTCTTTTGTAAAAAAATACATTTGACTTCTTAATTTTTTTTTTTACTTTTTACTTTTTTTTCTCTAATATTGAAGATCAAAAGAATCAATTTTTCGCGCTGACCCTTTCAAAAATTGAGGGAAAAAATCACATGAAAAATTGTAATTCTATTGAATACGACTATTTTTGATTCAAATGCTGTTAAAAGAAATAAGCTTTTCCGACATTTTTTGGGTCGCTTCACACCCCCGAAAAAGTCAGAAAAGTGTAAATTTTTTAAAGGAGTTTTTTCTCTTTTTAATCAAGATATGACTTTTATTAATTATGTCACTTTTTATAAATAAAATATTTTATTTCTTATAAAAAAGCTATAATATTTAGCTGCAAATTTTTTTGCGAGTTGATATCATAAACATATACTTGCAATTTTTAATAATTTCCTTGATGAAACCACTAAAAGTATCTATTGGAAGCAATCTGTAATGAGTTTTGGGAAAAATATTTTCAAGAAACCAGTCCATCACCTGTTACCGATACAAATCCGGACATATCCAATTCGGATAATGCATTCATTTATAAATCGGTTTTTACTGATTTGCTAGATTATGCATATAAATTTGAAAACAAAGATAACCTTTATATATTATCAGAACAAAACAAGTTTTCTAACGGTAAAGGCACCATTTATATTTATAGTAGATCACAAGTTGTACACCATCGTATTTGTTCATTTAATAACTCAGATAATAAGTTTATTTCCAATTCCTATCCAAATAGTATATCAGCAGAATGTTCTATATCAAGCTTCAATGATAGAGATACAGGCACATTGTATCAACTTCAAGGTCAAATAAACATTAAATCAGTGAATTTTTCAAAATGCCAATCTTTCAAAGGCGCAGCTATTTATTTTAATGCAGTTTTAGATATAATTAATATAAGTTATTGCTTATTTGATTTATGCCATGCAACATATTATTCATCAATATCCATCTCTAATTCAATAGCTAAATTAATGAAGTCAAACATCATAAATAATACTTATATGGACAATGGTTATGGAATTATTTTCGCTTTTGGAGCTTCTGATTATAAAATTAATATCGAAGATTGTATTTTTAAAGAAAATTGCAAAAATAGTTATGGAAAATATTTCGGTACAGGATATGAAGCATGCATTTATATCATCAGAACAATATCAGACTTAAAAACTGTAAATGAAGATGGAGGAACAATAGATATATCGCAAATGGACACAAGCAATTTTGAAAACATTTGATCTATAAATTCTCCATGTAATGTCATTTTTCTTCAACCCGAAACTTATGATTCATTATCTTCAATCACTTCTCCATCTTTAGCTTGTCCAGCATTATTAACTAAAAAATAAAAAATGTAAATTAGAAGAAAACAAATTATCTATTGGTAGTATGAATATCAAAGTAGTTAATTATAACAGAACAAATTGCATAGTATTATGTATTTTCTATTTCTAAATTTTTATTTGGAACTTTCCTTCAGCCTGAATTGAATTTTTCAAGATCAAATCAGATATGAGAGCAACAATCATATACACCAACGACCTTCAGTGTTTCAACTGCCACAAGGTCGACAGCTATATTTTCACATACTTCACAATCCAATACTTTGAGCCAGTTCTCGACTGGGACATCATTGCATACAAGGAGATTCAGAGCCCTAAACTCACCAATCCAGGCACAAGCAAACCATTCCAAGCTTGCTTCCAGTTTGGCAAAATCTTCTCAGCCTACTACAACAAATTCCAACATGACTAAGCAATTTGTGCTAAGTATTTTACAAAATTTTATCACTTTTCTTCAAATTTACATCCTAACTCCTTCATTCTAAAGTCTGACGAATGTATTTCTGTAATAATTTGATTAACCTTAATTTTATATCGAACGACGATCAACATTCGTATATCCGATAACCTTATTTTTATTCCTTGACCTCAAGGAATCCAATTTAGCAACTATATATTTGGCAATATGTTTTCAGAAGTAAATATTGTCAATAATTAGCATTGAACTCGAGAGAATAAGCATAGTTTTCAAATGCAAACCATCTTTAATGATATTTGGGAAAGATATTATAGTCTTCCCTGTCCAATACCAATCACTAGTATAAATCCTAATATATCTGATGCAGGTGATGCATTTATTTACAGATCCTTATTCTTTGATTTACAAAATTATTCGATTTATTTCGATAGCGGCGATTATGATGTACTATCAGAAGAAAACAAGTTTTCGATTGGTAAAGGTACCATATATATCCAAGGCAACTCAAAAATTGTTAATCATCGATTTTGCTCTTTCAATAACATGAATCAAGGTTTCATTTACTGTTTTAAGGCAAACAGTACAGCAACAGAAGGATCTATTTTCAGTTTCAACAACATTTACCCAGAAATAGGTACATTGACTGAATATTTGGGACAAGCAAATATAGAATCAATGAACTTTTCTAGATGCAAAGCATTTCAGGGCGCAGCTATTTTATGTTATGGATACATTTTGTCAAATACTAAATTAAATAATAGTATTTTTGGTTGTTATATCGATTCATGCAATGCAACTCAATATGGTATCGTTAATATAGGTTTAATTACTTATACCAAATTGATAAAATCTAATATTATAAACAATACACAAGAAACTACTCAAGGGGGAATTATTTATGCTAAAAGATATTCTGCAAGAATTGATATACAATATTGCATTCTAAAAGACAACTGTCAAAATAACAATGCACCATATTTCTCTACAGATGAGAATGCCCAAATATATATATACCACACAATATCCGATTCAAATTCAACAAGTGGATATACAATAGATATGTCGGATATGAAAACAAACCCATTTGAAAATAATTTTTTAGTAAATAATCCTTTTATATGTGATAAAACATCTTTAAAGAAGAGTAGGCCGAAAGTTCATATTTCATTATATGCATTTTTACGTTGCATCTTATTTTGCCAAGCATTAATAACTAAAAAATGACAATATCCCAATTGAAATTATTAACTTTTCACAGTAACTTTTTATATTACATATAAATCATAGGTAATGTGTATATATATATATATAGATCTAGTATTTTGGGAAGTTCAAAGTAAATGCCAGTTATTTAAAGATTTCCAAATTTGAATTTTTATTACTATTGAATAACCAGTTTTAGTTTTTATTGTTTGCATCAAAAATTTGTTACTAATAAAAACTACTTGCTTGAAATGATATAATATGAATAAAAATGCGTTAGGAAACATTAGTTTCAAGATAATAGCCAAAAACTTCTCCTGGATATTAATCTTGCTGAAATTTGGTCACAATATTTTGGTGTTCCCTGCCCAGATCATATTACTGGCACTAATCCTAATACACCTGATTCCGCAAATGCATTTGTTTATAAATGTCTTTTTAGTGATTTATCAAACTATGCTATTAACTATGACATTTACTTGCTATCAGAAGAAAACCAGTTTTCCAACGGTTATGGTACCGTCTATATTGGAGGTAACTCACATGCCGTTCATAACCGCTTCATCTCTTTCAATAATTCACAGAATAATTTCATTTTCAGTGCGTTTGTGAATAGTACAGTAACGCATGGATCTATCACAGGCTATAATAGAGATTCTGCAGGTGGTTTATTTCAAATGCAAGGACAAATTAAAATCGAATCAATAAATTTTTCTCGATGCGTTTGTGATGAAGGACCGGCTATCCTTTGCTACGAAGTATCTAATTTAGTAAATGCTTGCTGTTGTTTCATTGACTCATGTCTTGCGAGAAATTCTGTAACGATTCGTTTTACTTCGACAAGTGCCCATCTGATTAAATCCAATATCAGAAACAATACTCAAATGAGTTCAAGCGCTGGCGTGGTTTGTATTTCGGGCGATTCTAACTGTAGACTTGATATCGAAGATTGCATATTCAAAGGGAATTGTCAAGATGGAATAGGGGCATATTTTTCTACTTATGGAGAAGCTTCTATATATATCAATTGAACAATATCTGACTTAAAGACAACATTCAACGAATTTGGAGGGCAGATATATATGTCTGAAATGCTCACTGCTCCATTCAATATTAACTACATATTATGCTCAGTATCTAAGATCCGCTTAAATAATCATGCAAGTGCATTAAGATCAATTTATAACCTAATATTTTCTTGTTTATTTTGTCCTGCATTATTTACTAAAAAATAATACTTATAACACAGCTATCCTTTAAGTACCAATTTTGATTATTTCTATAGGAAACCTCTTATAATTATACTGTTCACTAAATCTCAGGTCCAGAATTTTCTGAAGATTTGGACCCGAAATTTTGAAATTGTGGTACTTTATTTTCAGCAAATAGATTAAAAAAGAAATCTTTTATGATATAGCATCTAACAACCACAATCATTGCCATATAATTTCATAAATAAAATATTTTAAATCATTTTTGTGATAATATCTAGACAATTTTTTTGGAAACAAATTTTAATGAAATATCGGAAAGATTTTTTAGTTTTCCATGCCCAGTTCCTGTCACTGATATAAATCGACGCATTCCTGCTACAGAAAATGCATTCATTTATAAATCAATTTTTAAAGACTTGTCTAGATTTGCTATTTACTTTTATGAAAAAGATAACTATTCCTTTTTATCGCTCGAAAATGAGTTTTCCAATGGTCAAGGAACCGTATATATGCAAGGAAATTTACAATTTGTCAATCATCACTTTTGTTCCTATAATAACTCAGTTTTTAATTACATCTACTGCAAAGATGGAAATAATTCTGTTACTGAATAGCAATTCTTATGGGTCATTGTATCAAACTAGAGGCCAAATAAATATTGAGTCAGTGAACCTTTCGCGATCCATATCAGATGATGAAACAGTATTTGAAAAGGGAATAGTATCAATTAGTGGTTCATCAATACACAGAATTGATATAGAAGATTGTATATTTGACAAAAATTATCAAAACCGTTTAGGAAAATATTTCAGTACCGAATATGAAGCATCAATATATATATTCAGAACAACATCAGATGCAAAAACAAAATACGAAGGAGGCGGGCCTATAGACATGTCCATGATGGATACGGATCAATTTGAAAATAATTTTTCTATACATTTATATTTTCGTTTTCTGATTTATTTCACTAAACATTAATCGACTACCTTATTTTTGACACACACAATTCTTACAAATGAGTACGATATAATTTACAATTTGAACTTGTCAGATAATTTTTTTAATTTGAACACGCATAAAATATTTTATATATGTGCAAATTAGTTATTTGGTTCGTATGAAGTACTTTATAGTGCTTTTCCATCTCTGCAAAAGAAGAAGATAGCAAAAAGAAAAATAAATTAATAATAATAAATACAATTTACATTAATATAAAAACAGCAATGTGAGAAATAAGAATATTGATAGTTGAGTGTGAATTCATTTTGCATGAGAAACCACTGCAATATGTTGAAGAACCTAAATTAAGACCACTTTTGACAAGCATAGAAACAAGTGTTTTGTTCATCTGGTTCTGGATAAGTGTTCCACAAACAAGAAGAGGACAGTTTCGGAATGCATCTGATTCAATAATAACAACACTAGATGGAATATTGATTTGACGAAGATTAACACAACCTTCGAATGAACTTCGACCAATTCGTAAAAGACTCATCTCTGGAAGAAGAACACTTGAAAGATGGATGCATCCAATGAATGCACTGTCTTCAACAACTTCGACACCTTCAAGAAGATAGAAGTATGAGCGTCGTGATGCAGGTGGAGAGACATTATAGATACAAGGTGATGTGAATTTTGCATCCCTGAGATGGACGATACACCCAAAGTGTCACCTTTTTGGGATAACAAAAATTTATATATATGAGAGTTCTGCAAATCATATGCACAATATCTATTCTGCCTGACTTCTTGTATATAGGAGTCAGGCCGAATAGATATTGTGCATGTGGCAATATAAGTATTTCCGAGATTGCCATCGTGCGCTATAGTACACTACTTCTCCTTGGTCCTAGCTCGGTTCCAAGGATATCAGTGTTCAAGGATTTGGCAAGGTCCTTCTGAAGTCTCTCATTCGATGAGAGATTTCGGAAGAACCTTGCCTTAGAGTATTCCAACTCTTGTTCTCTTGTCCCTGAATAGTCAGAAAAGCTATTTGACTACTTAAGGCAGAGATTATCCGAGGTCCCTCATTTGATGAGAGGCCTTGGATAATCTTTGCCTTAAAGTTGTACACTTATAGTCCATCAGAATGTAAGTATACACGGATAGGACAGCTTTCTTCTGAAGTCTTAGATTTGATGAGAAGCCTCAGAAGAAAACTGTCCTATTTTATAATAGGAGGAGTTTCAGAAGCTCCAGAGCTCCCTTTCGTAAGGAATAGGAGCTTTGGAGCTCCTGGTTCGAAGATGTGCTTCGCATCTTTCATCAGCATAGGATATTTATCAACTGGGACTCTGTTGATGAAGACTCAGGAGCTCCAAGGCTCCCTCTCGTAACGATTAGGAGCTTTGTAGCTCCTGAAGGTAAGGTAGGATTGCTCTGATCGAGAGGTTATCGATTTTGTAATTTAATCGTCGTCGTTATCGATTTTGTAATTTAATCGTTATCGTCTTTTTCTAAACGTGCATTTTTACATTAAAAGCAATGCAACTCCAAAATTAATTGGTATTTAGACTTTAATTAGGTGCAGACAAACGAAATGCAGTCCGAATATTTTGGTGATATATGAATTACATAAATTTAGGGAAATTGAAATTATATCTTTTTAAATTTTTAGGAAAACAGATTTATAGAATTGTTTAAGTCATCAAAATAATGCAGACTTAGGTCAAATTTTCCAAATTTAATCATTTGCAAGACTTTCAAGCGACTTCAAAATGTCGAAATATAAGTCCAAAAATAAAATTACGATTACAGTCTATCCTCAATTATTATCACGCTAATTATTGAGTGACCCATGCGTTCGTATGTATGTAATACCTTTTAAAAAGGAGATGAGAGAGATAAACTACATTTACAATTTAAATCTGATGTATTTACTTGTTACATTTACAAATGTAAATGTTTCTCGTAATGTTTACATTTTGTAAGTATAACGAATAAAAATGACGCACTTTTTTTACAAAGTCAAATTATGCGAGACAACTTTACTTGTTACATTTACAAATGTAAATGTTTCTCGTAATGTTTACATTTTGTAAGTATAACGAATAAAAATGACGCACTTTTTTTACAAAGTCAAATTATTGTTCGATTTTTGCAGCTTGTAAACGATTAATTGTATAAAGCAATTGATATTAGCACGACATAACTGAATAATTCTAATATTGAAATCAAAAGCCCTTAAAATATCATGATATTTTAATTTCATAACAAATCTAGGAGACTATTTGATGAAAACATATCCGATGTGGGTTTTGTTGTATTATATAACTTGTTATTGACTTCTTAGCTTTCCAAATTTTTTTCGATAATGAGAAAACGAATGAAAAATCAACATTTGGTCCATTTAAAATTTGATTTGTTTACATTTTTTTTACTTTTTGAATTTCAATTTATATTTTCCTCAAGAAATACTTTAGATTTTAAGAAACTAAATCATATAATCTACTAAGAAAATATATTAAATCCTATAATACTCAAAGTTTTGTGATAAATCCGATCTTTTTTATTTTACTTTTATTATGTTTTTTGCAAACTTAAGGTCCTCACTAGGTAAAACATAATACTCTTTGAAGTTAAGTATTTTCACAAAGAGAGGACCAACAATATCAAAAGATTGAATAAAGATTTGTATTATTTTATTTATTTTTAAGAACATGTTTGGAAAACACTTACTTCGTTCTACAAATGTGTATCTCTTTATATCAAAGATTCTTCTCAAATTATTGAGAGACTTCTCTCAAAAAAAGGAAAATTTGATAACTAAAAAAAATTATGGCATAACCTCTCGTTTTGCATAGATATATATTTACATGGTCACAGAGCTTATTTTCATTGTCAAAACTTAAAAATTTTTAGTGGACTATACCCTTAATAGGATAAAAAAAAAAGAATTTACACTCTCTCACTTTGAAAACGTAGAAAATGCCAATCTATTGGTATACATTTTAGTTTTGTTAAGTTTACAAAACGATTACTCTAGATTTTAAAGAGTTATCAAGAATTTAGAGAATATCCTTCTCAAAACAACTTCAATAGCGAAGGATTAGTATTGAATCGGATTTGTAACATAATTATAGTACATTACAATACAATTTCTCCGATTTTTAAATATTTTTGAAATATTTACAAAATATGCTCTTTCTATCATCGATACTTTAATACAGAGCAAATTTAGTAAATGTCATCACGTTATTTTTTCATAAATCGTTTTCGAACTTTTGAAATATTTATTTTAAACCAGTTTTCTACATTTAATATGTGAATTATATCAAAAGTAGATGGGCGATACTTGTAAATCTATTTAAACTATTAGTTTGCTATTATTGAAGAACTTTATAATTTTTTTTTCTTATGTATGGAATTAAAGATAATTTTGCCGATTCCAACTGGTTTTTCTATATGAGTTAAATATGCCAAGTGAAATTGGACTTGCCAATATTGTAAATTGAAGTATGGACTATATATCGATTTTCATTGATTGATGAATAACTCGGAGTAATGTAATTGTTGATAATGAAAAATAGTTTTCAATTGCTGGTAAGGGCCAATGTATGTTCAATAGCTCCGAAAGCAAAAAATGCACGTTTAGAAAAAGACGATAACGATTAAATTACAAAATCGATAACGATGACGATTAAATTACAAAATCAATAATGACCCGCTCTGATCTCTAATCAGTAGATGCCATGCCTCATTATGGACTCTACTGACAAGAGATCAAGAGCTCCAAGGACTCCCTTTTTAGCTAGTGGCATTCTCACCATTTAGTAGGATCGCTGATCCTACTAATGAAGTGATCACTTAATATACGTTTTGAATAAATTGAATTTTTTTACAAAAATTTAGTATTTTTTATAAACATCACATATATATTATAAATACGTAAATATATTCTTTAATTCAATAAATTCAATTAGGTTTCGGGCTGGGTATCCCAGCCCCAAGTATTCAATTTTATTCAATTTTTTTAGAATTTTGGGTTGGGGTACCCAGACCAAAACAAACTTTATATTTTGATGTGTAGATGCGTATGTGTACATCATTATTGCGTTATATATATTATATTTTTAATGAAAAAAAATCTGATTCAAAAAATTATCACTAATTAGTTGATAATATAAAGAAAAAATATATAAATTGTATGTTTTGAGAGTATTTATCCACATTCACTCATATGAATTTCATTAAATAGTGTCTTTTTACTCCAAAATTTATTTTGAATTATTGAAATCAAAGAAAAAAAAATTAGAAAAATTTCTCGAAATTTTTATTTTTAAAAAAATTTTGGATTTTATATTAAAAACTGACACTGGGAGGACGATAGGGCTGGGATTAGAGATACCCCGCTCACTTGGGAAAAATACGGATCTATAATAGACATGCATGTGATGTCTGTCTCGACTGTAGATTGCACCACTATCAAAAACAAAGTTTGTTGATGAGAATGATGAAACTTCTGAGAATCGGATACATCCTTCGAAAACACCATATCCGATTCGTGAAAGTGAACTCTCGTTGTTGATATTAAGAGAAACTAAATATGAACAATCTTTGAAACATTGGTCACCAAGTGTTGAAACACTGTTTGGAAGAGCGACTGATCGAATAGATGTACCTTGAAGTGATGATGAGTCAATTGTAATACAGTTAGAAGGGATATCAATACTACTAAGATTACTACATCCACTGAAAACAAATGCTGGAAGAATTCCATTGCAGATTTGGTTATTTTGGAATTGAACACTTGAAAGACCACTGTTCATGAAACAACCAATACCAATAGAAATAATGTTTTCTCTAACTTCAATATGATTTAATGAAACTAATCCGCTGAATGTGTTTTCACCAAATGTGATATATGAATCTCGGTAAATAACAATTTCTCTGATACTAATACAATCTTGAAATGCATTGTTGCTGATCGTCAATTGAGAAACAGAATGAAATAGTCTATGAAATTCTTTCATTCCTTTGTTTGTAGAAAATGATGATTCAAATCTGATAGAAGGAATGAATTTGCAGTTCTTGAATGATGAAGAGCCAATCTTCGTGATTGTCTCTGGAAATGATATCTCTGAATTCAAAATTGTGTTTTCAAATGCATTGTCTTGAATCTCAACAATCATCTTTCCAAATTCAAATTTGCTAAGATTAGTACATCCTTGAAATGCTGTTGATTCAATATATTGGATATGGCATTCACCATTGAATCTGATAGATCCGATTTTTGTGTTTCCTCTGAAGGAACCGACTTTGATTCTTGTAACAGTGTTTAGAAGAATAATTTCTGTTTGTGTTCCAAGGAATTGTGAGATTGTTGTGTTTTGATCTGTATACAAAACAAATTGTTTATCTAAGTATAAATTTGTATTATTTTGGAATGTTATATTGACATCATCATAATTAGGGAATGCACCACCTCCAATCGTTTTTAATGAAGATGGCAAAACTATTGTCTTAAGACTTTTACATCCAAAAAATGCATTGTTACCAATTGTTTTAACTAAATCTGGAATTATTATTGAAACCAAATTTGTGGAAGAGAAACACCAATCAGAGTAGTATATGTTGAAGGGTTGTGTGACTTTTTTTGTAAACGTAAGAATTCTCACATAATTGAACGATTTTGTATCATTTTTTTTAACATATGAAGTAAAAAATGTATGATTCTTACGGTTTTTATTCTTACGTTTTTGAATAAATCAAGATTTAAAAAATTGACTTCTTACGTAAAATTAAAACTAAGTTAAATTTATTTTTTCTTACGTTTTTTAATTCGTAAGAAAATGAGTGGATCAAGATTCGTAACCGTCAATCAATTAATGGATGCTCTTTCACCAATTCTTGAAAATGTTAAACAAGTAGATGTTTATTTCGATGATTATGTAGAAAGTTTATATTATAAAGGTAAACATAATATTAAACCCATTGCTTTTGCATTTGATAATAAATTAATTGAAAATGCAAAAATTTGATCATTAATTCCAGATATTGAATTTATAACAAATATTAATGATAAATGGTTTAAACGAATTCCAACCACAAAAGTTCTTTGTAAATTAATGATCAAAACTGAGGAAAAAGAATTTAACGGGTTTAAATATCATCCAAATAAAGTTTCAGAACTAGAAAATGAAAAACTTCAGAAAAAATTAAACGATAGACTTTCAAATGATCGTATTGAAAAAATAAATAAACTAGCAGAAGTTGCATTTAATAATGAAATATTTGATGAATATAACCTTGAACTCAGTGATGGGCTTTAAGGACCCAGGCTCAACGAGTCATGATTTATGAAATCAATAATTTGATTTATTCGCTCTTCAATAATTTCTATTCTTTTTGTTAAATCATCATTTTCATTAATGAGGTGATTCTTGATTGAGGAATAGATTTCAAACTAACCACCCTTTTATTTTTGAAATTTTGAATCCATCAACTTTAAACATTTTATTCAATTTACATGTTGTCAATTCTTCAAATAATTTTTTATTATTAGCATAATAGTCATTAAATTCTTCAACAGATGAAAAAATTTTTATTTCAGTAATTGGTTTAACAACGTTTATTTTTTGTTGAACATTTTCGCTTTCATTTATTTCTTCCTCCTCTGTTTCATTTATTTTTAAAATCGGTTTCATTTATCATTAAATAAAAATTAGAATATAAGTGATGAAATATATTTTTTAATTAATATTAAATCAGAAATGGCGCAGGATTCTTTAAAAAATTATGGGATGGAATTAAGAAAGCTGCGGGTTGGGTTTATAAAAATTATTAAACCCGTTGCAAACTTTTTGGCACCAGTAGCGAAAACGGCAGGAACTATCATAGGTGGAGTATTAGGTACTAAAGCAGGTAATCCGCGATGGGAGCACAAGCAGGTAACGCAATTGGTGGAATTGCTGAAGGAATACTTAATAAAATAGGAGGTAAATAGTGGAAAAATAAATAAATATTATTTTTATCTTAGTATCGGTTGAAGTCTTTGATAAACTTTTTCTCCTTTATTTAATATTTCTCTTATTGGGGCGGCTTTTGGTGTTATTGATTCAGCAACGTCACTAATTGCTTCTTTATTCTTAAATATCCAATTTGCTCCTTTCTTCATTGTTTCCCAAACTTTATGCGCTCCTCTTTTTACTTTATCCCACAGTTTCTTAAATATACCTGCAGCCATAGTTGATTATTTCATTAAAATTAAAAATTCATTTTCATCTTTTAATTTTGATTTTTTATTTATTAATAAATGACGACTAACTATTTGGTGCCAAACACTAAACCGATTAATGGAAATGTGTTTCATTCATTCGAAAAGATAAATGAAATATTCGCAAAGAATGACGGTAGAAGATATTATAGAGAACTTGAAAGTTCATGCTATGACTCTGATGCTCCATATTTTGATGATAAACAAACTCATTTAAGAATTACAAATCCGGCTCATGATGTGAACCAATTAGGTGACACATATATTAAACGCAAAGTTAAAGCAACTCTAGTTTCAAATAAAGCTTTCACATGTGATGCCGCTTTTAAATGCATGCGTTTATTCGTTGGTTACAAATCATCAAATCAAAGCTTTAAACAATTAGAAGTAGAAACCGAAAGAGGTGATGCCGGTTATCTTCAGATGGATTGCGCCCGTGAATCTTTCGCATTTGCAACATATAAACCAAAATCAGAAAGGAAAGTTAAAAAGTTTGTTCATTCGTTATATAATAATGTTCAAAAATATGATAACTCAGTATGTGGTAAATATATTGACCCTTCAGAAGTTTTCAAGAAAGCAAATGAAGAAGTTGATGTCACTTTTGATATGATTATTCCGGTAAATGATTTGTTAGCATTTCAGGCGTTCGATGATTATCCTAAATCATTTGGTGAAATCATTCTTAAATATTATGTTTTCAGGGATACTTTAGTATTTTGTCAGGTTGACCCGTTAAGAGTTGCTGATTTACAAAATTACGTTTATGAAAAGATAACTGATGAAAATTATGAAAAGATTATGAATCATGTTTATAAATATGATCGCAAATTCCAACAAATCGGACTTCCTGCCAAATTAATTACAAGCTTAGCCGCTACATCTGCTGACGCAACAGTTGATACGTTATTATTTCATGCACAAAGATGGAAGTTTTAGAGGATAAATGCATTACACCAGGATACGGTTTAATTGAAGAATCAGTTAAAGCAATACCACGTTTATTCAGTAAGGAAGATCCATTCATGATTCCAGCTCAACATATTGACGTTCGTTCACTAAATGGAGGTTGCATCACTCCTGAAGGTATCAGCTCAGATTTCTCATACGCTCTTCATAATGTTACAGATGTTGTGTTAACATTTCCGAAGAATGCAATGCAAAGAACAGTTTTAGAAAATCCAATGCTTCGAGGTCTTCAGGTCACTATAGATTCCAGAAACTTCCCCGATCAAGCGATGACCACAGTGGGCGACATATTCTTTACACGTATGCTTCAAGCTTCTGATTTAGATGGAGTGAATGAATGCACAGAAGAATACGAGGACTCATTAACTAGACCACTGAATGATGATATGGCACGCCATTAGCTAGAACATGGAAAGACCAAACTTCATTCTTATGCACTATTCCAGTTCAACGTGATGGAGCGGGTATATTCTTTGATGGATTAGAAACTTTCAACTCACAAGTTACAGTACAAGTGAAAGCTTATCCAATCATTCAGGGTGAAAATGACACTTACTGTTCAAAGGTGACAAATCCTCCTCAGGTTTGGTTTACTAGGACTACGTATTGGACATGGACACCGGACGAAGGTTTGAAATATCATCCAACAGGTACACCACCACAGTATAGAAGTTCATATGATGAAATATTGATGAATAGAAATGTTTAAAATTATAAATTTATTTTTGATTAAATGGATTTAAATTCATCCACCCCTTATGAAGAATTAGCAGGAGTATATAATACATACGTAGATGATATGATTAATGAAGCATTGAGTGATAATAGAAATGCTCTATCTAAGGAAAAATTAATGAAAATTCCATATTCTGAATGTTACTTAAATTCAATCACTGCAGCAATTGGTAAACAAAATAAAGGTAAAACATTAACGATATTAAAACAAATTATCATTATTGCTAACACTTCCCCCATTCACATGTGTTAATTTATATCAACCGTTCAGGTTCACCTTCAGATGATACATTTGAATCTTTAAAGCATTTAATCAAAATTCCAATTATTTATTTATCACAAGAAGAAGCAGAAGATTATTTAAAAAACTTTTTAATGTATAAAGAATTATATAATACAATCAAGAAGCAAGGATTAGAGGATAAAATTATTGATAAACAACGGGATGAATTATTTGAAACACTTTCTATTTCAAATTTTGATAAAGAATTTTTGCATTCACTCATTTTTCTAGATGATGCGTGAAATCAAAACTAATAACAAATGAGAAATCATATTTTAATCAGTTATTAACTCAATGTCGACACATTCAGTGTTCATTCTTCATGGCTGTTCAATACTTCAAAGCATTAAGCACAAACATTAAATCAAATCTATCAACACTTTTCATTTTCAGTGGGTTTAGTCGTCAACAGTTGAACGTTATGCTTTATCAAGTGAATTTACCAATGAGCATTAATGAACTTTACACACAATATCAACAATTAGGTGAACATGGAAAAATAATAGTTGATTTAAATAAAGGTTCCATTAAATTTGATTAACTTTTTATAATTAATTTTTATTTTTTATTTATAATTAAACATGACAGAAATAGCAAATCTTCTACAGGTTCCATTAAAACAAGGGACAAACAAAAAGGGTGCATATAATAGAACTATGAAAGTTCCAGACGGAATGAAAGAATTAGTCCACATTGTTGCCGGTCTTCAAAAGGATGTTAAACAAATGAGAAACGTTTTAACATTACCAGAAGCTCAAGCATATGCCAAACGTCATGGACCAAATTGGGAAGCACATGAAGCAGACATTACAGGACCAAATGGAAAGCCTGATGGTATAAATGAAGTTTTCGTTACTGATGGTCAAGGAATATTAAAGTCATAAATGGGTATAAATTAACAATGACGGATTATCCTAAACGTAAAGCAT